ACCGGCCTGAATGTCCGAGAAATTTTCATAGAAAATTTTCGTTCTTTGACAGGATTCGAACCTGCATCCTATACGGAACCGTCATATACGCTGACGTGCTTAAGCTACAAAGAACCAATCGGTAGACAAGGTCGAATTTACTGCTTATAAACTCCAATTTTCCATGAATCTCGTACATTCATAACTGCTCTGGCGTATCGAATGTAAACAAATGACGTCATATATTAAGAAATGGACAAGGTCCGACAATTTATTTATTAAAGACATTTTATTATGTTTAACGTTGTTATTTTATAGATACAAGTATTTAAGCAAATGCTCTGTTTATGATAAACAGTATTAAATAACATTTACCGGCCTGAATGTCCGAGAAATTTTCATAGAAAATATTCGTTCATAGACAGGATTCGAACCTGCATCCTATACGGAACCGTCATATACGCTGACGTGCCTTGACCACTCGGCCACCATGAACCTTATGGTAGACAAGGTCGAATTTACTGTTATAAACTACAATCTTCCATGAATCTCATAATGTTTATCATAAACAGAGCATTTGCTTAAATACTTGTATCTATAAAATAACAACGTTAAACATAAATAAAAATGTCTTTAATAAATAAATTGTCGGACCTCGTCCATTTCTTAACATATATATATATATATATATATTGCGATTATATAAATACAAAAGTGAACATTGAGGTCAACACTAGTTGTTTCATGCTAGACCTTGTATTTTCTCATACACCTCCTTTATATTATAATAAAATAGTAATAATATATTGCTCTACTTTGTACTGAGCACTTTTATAAAAGTAAATGCTACGAACAGCGGAGTTCTACTTCATCTGTTCTTTCTCTCATTTGGATATATATATATATATATATATATATATATATATATAGATAGATAGATAGATAGATAGATAGATAGATAGATATAAATATAAAAGTGAACATTGAAGTCAAAACTCAGAGGAGACAGGTTGGACGCAATCATTAAGCGGATTGACGATTGCGTCCAGCATGAAAAAGACTGTCGCCTCTAAGTGTTGACTTCATTGTTCACTTTTTATATTTCACACGTTCTATCTCTGATATTGAGCACTTCAGCCCTTAAATATAGCACACCTTAAGAGTATATTTCTTCATATATATATATATATATATATATATATATATATATATATTTGTGTGTGTGTATGTGCCTGTGTGTATATGCGTGTGTTCTTTTGTCACCGAAAATGTTAAATGTGTTTGTTTTTTGTGCATCGTATTTATAAATGTCTGTCGCAGCCAAGTGATACGCAGACATTCCGCGTGTCAATTGTGGCTGGAATATTTATGAGGTTGGAGTCCAGAATTCTTCGGATTTGAAAATTATTATGGGTTAGCTGTGGGCTACAACCATTTGTTTTTAACTCTGCTCTTTAGACAGACATAAGAAAAGACTGGAAATAGATGAAGGAAGAGTAGTTCAGTGCTAGCAAAAAACCATGTCTGGGACATTCGGAAGAGACTGATTTTATCACACAGAGTGAGGATATATATATATATATATATATATATATATATATATATATTTATTTCTGAGATGAGATATTAGGTACACTATTTGCCTTATTCGGACTATTGTTCTCATCTTTGTTGACATATTACAACGTTTCGGCCGGAGAACATGGAGAGGTGAATTAAAAGGAAATAACTGATAACTGACATCCATAAGACATGGCATGTGGAACTAGAACAGTCTAACTCAGCGAGCAAAATAAAGGTTTCAGTTCGACATTCGAACTACCTGAAGAAGGCCGGAGCGTACAACGGCTGAAACGTTGTGATAAATATGCCAACAAAGATGAGGACAATAGTCCGAATAATGTAAATAACATATATATATATATATATATATATATATATATATATATATATATATATATCGTCACTTCCTCTGAAAGTGTGGGAAAACGCTTTACTGGTGCATAATACGCACCCATTGTTTGATAATCAAACCATATAAATTCTGTCTCTCCAATTTAATTACTGCCAGTGTCTCCTACTTTTATATAAAAAAACAACATAGAATAATATTATTCTAATTTAGTTTTATGATAATTCTTATTTTATTTTACGGCAATTTTTTAAAGAATTTTTGTAGCTGTGCATAATACGCACCACTGATTTTGCTTATTATTTTTTAGAAAAAAAAATGCGTTTTATGAATGGGGAATTACGGTACTTCGAAAACGTCAAAATCGCTACACAAATGCAGTTGTATTTCGATGTGTATCAACGCATCTCATCAGGCGATTATAATTTACAATCACCTGATGAGATGGGTTGATACGCATCGAAATACGACTGCATTTGTGTAGCGATTTTGACATGTTCTCGATGTAATATCCTAAAAAAAAATAATATATATATATATATATATATATATATATATATATATATATATATATGTAAATTGCCAAGAGGATAGAATCCAGGTAGAACTCAATGTCCAGGACAGAGTAAGAATATAATATAAAAGGCTTCAAACACTAATATTCCATGGTTATAAATTATTATTACATTGGAATCGTAATCACGATTCAATTCATCAGACCTACAAATTCAAAAAGAAATCGAAAAATATAACTCCGGGTATAAAAAACAAAATTTTCGTGAGAGTTTATGTGTGGGAGTGGAAATGCTATGAAATCTCTAGAGAGAGGATGTAGCAGAAGAAAGAAGAACAGGAAGGCCTAAAGGTGAAGGTGGGGATTAAAATTTAACAGAAAGTTTTAAAGAGAGGAGTTAAAAAAAACGGTTTAAATGAGTGAGATATAGATAAATATGAATTATAATTTCCGATCTTTTTTCCGTTTTAGATTTTTAAGTAACGTAGTAAAAATTTGTTTTCATGTCTGCATTTTGAGATGAGCTCGGATCTTTTATTTAATAATTTATTTTTGTCTGGGAAGTTAATGATAGCTATTTTTTCCTCCAAGCAAATTTTTCAAATTTTGATTAGTTGTTGTAGGCTGATGATCTTTTCCTTATTGTCCAAGATATTTGTGGTGTGCTTTTTGCTTTTAATTTCCCAGATATACTTAGAAAGCATTGTGCTGTTTGCATATTTACTATTTGTGAAAGATGTTTTGGGTGCATAATTTCTTTGTTTCCAGGGTCCTTCAGTTACTCCTATGTATACTTTTTCTTCATTATCTGGTGATATCAATGCTTTCTAAGTATATCTTTCTCGGACCAATCTTAATTGTTTTATAACCCTTCACGAAGAAATTTTAATTTCCAGTTCAGGAAAGACTTCTGGGGCACTAACACACTAAAAAGAGAATGTCTCATATCGAGAATATTTAACATCGAAAAACATAGGAAAAAAAATTAATTATTTTTAATAATATGTGGAAATATCATACTTTGCTTGGTGAAGGTCACGAGTCTGAAAACGCGAGTGGCAAAATTGTGGAAAACTAAAGCATAATATTTAAAAAAAAAAGAAAAAAATCCACATTACGACCGAAAACTTTTGCAGTTTCTCTCTTCTTTTTAATATACACACTTTACTCTCGTTGGAACCATTATAACCTCTTCCTTTTATATATATATATATATATATATATATATATATGGAAATGCAAAGAGACAGAGTATTGGATTGTTATTATTTTTGGTAATAAGGCACAGTGGATAAAGGCCTTAGTTAGATCCAGTGACAGGACCCAAAGAGTGTGAGTTCAATACCTGGTTAAGGCAGTGGAGAACGCGGAGAGGGGAATTAAGAGGAGATAACTGATAACTGACATCCATTAAACATGGCACGTGGAACTAGAACAGTCTACTCCAGTGAGCGAAATAAAGGGTTCAGTTCAACATTCCCGCCATCTGAAGAAGGCCGGAGTGTACAACGCTCGAAGCGTTGTAATAAATATTGCGACAAAGATGCAGACAATAGTCCGAATAATGTAAAGAATGTACATAATACCTCATCTCAGAAATATAGACAGAAACTGAAAGGCCGAAACGTTGTAATAAATATGGCGACAAAAATGAGGACAATAGTCCGAATAATGTAAATAGTGTACATAATACCTCATCTCAGAAATATAGACAGATACTGAAAGGCCGAAACGTTGTAATAAATATGGCGACAAAGATGATGACAATAGTCCAAATAATGTAAATAGTGTACATAATACCTCATCTCAGAAATATAGACAGGTACTGAAGGGCCGAAACGTTGTAATAAATAAGGCAACAAAGATGATGACAATAGTCCGAATAATGTAAATAGTGTACATAATACCTCATCTTAGAAATATAGACAGATACTGAAAGGCCGAAACGCTGTAATAAATATGGCAACAAAGATGAGGACAATAGCCTGAATAATGTAAATATTGTACATAATACCTCATCTCAGAAATATAGACAGATATTGAAGGGCTGAAACGTTGTAATAAATATGGCAGCAAAATGAGGACAATAGTCCGAACAATGTAAATAGTGTACATAATACCTTATCTCAGGAATATAGACAGATATTGTTTGAATGCCTCACAATTTGACGGGAAAAATAATGAACTTTATTTCCGTCTTGTATGTTATCAAGAATCTCCAAATACATACCATAGTCTATAATTTTAACAGTCAGGATATATATGGAATACTGCTTCCATATTTGGCCGGTAAATTGTGTAACACAGTTTACGTTCCAGCCTAAGAAATCAAACGTTAAAATTCTGGCTCTGTGTGAGCGTCTATTTGAGTCAAGCAAGCTCATTCCAGCAAACAAACAAACGAATCTGAAATCGTTTAAATCTACCTGTATTCACTCGATCAAAGCTGTTATAGAGCCGACAGAAACGTTTTGAAATATTCAGCCAAATTGTGAAATTTGGTCTCCAGTTGCCAAAAAAATGTTAGGGAAAGTAAACGTGCTGGTAAATCGGCTCCCGATACGGATCAATTTGGTTTCTGGCTCATAAGAGGCGATGATGAAACCAGCTCATATATCGACCGTTTCCCGTTCAGATATAGTGACACCTCGGCAAGGGGCTGTTCGTTTAGAAGCTGCAGATGTAATGATGATAGCAGGATTGTCGAATAGCAATTCTCCTAACAGATTAAGGCTTCGTGTTCAATGATAATCCAGAGGCTTCTTTCCATTAGAACAAATCTATGATGGGGAAGAATAAGGCTTCTCGCTCAGCAATGAAAGAGTATCTGATGATGACGCGAATGAATGCAAAATTGTCGAGCTGAGAAGATAGATGGACGGATGACGTCAATTCGTTCTTCATTTCGTCATTCACTTATTTGGAATTTTTCCTTCACTCTTTCTCTATTGGTTGTTTTTTTTTCATATATTTAATTTTTTTAAAAAATCTGTTCATAGTTGAGGGTATCAGTTTATTCGTTTCTATCAATCAATCAATCTCATTTTCTTCAAATCTATCTTTTTCATTCTATTCAGATCTATCTATCTATCTATCTATCTATCTATCTATCCTATCTATTCATTCATCTATCTATCCCATCTATTCAGATCTATCTATCTATCTATCTATCTATCTAATTCTATTCAGATCTATCTATCTATCTATCTATCTATCTATCTATCTATCTATCTATCTGTCCCATTCTATTCAGATCTATCTATCTATCTATCTATCTATCTATCTATCTATCTGTCTGTCTGTCCCATTCTATTCAGATCTATCTATCTATCTATCTATCTATCTATCTATCTATCTATCTGTTTCATTCTCTTCAGATCTATCTATCTATCTATCTATCTATCCATCTATCTATCTATCTATCTATCTCATTCTCTTTAAATCTATCAGTTTATCTATATCATACGATTCATATCTATCTCTCTATCTATGCAGTAATAAATTTTAACATGGAAATATTTTTTTCACAATTTCATATAATATATATTTTTATTAACATTCTATTCATGTATATGTTCGGAAAATATTCCGAATATACATAAATATACATGAGCAACACAGAGTGTGTGTTGTGTGTTTCAGTTATATTAAAAAAAACCCAAAAAACTAATGGATATCTTGTTTCTTAAGCGTCATATTTCGTTATACAAAAGCAACAAATTAATAATATATATATATATATATATATATATATATATATATATATATATTGGATATTTATATATCCAAAATATACAGAAACATATTTCTAGACTTTCGAGATCTTTGAAAGTTTGCACCAGTTTTTATTGATCCCAGAAGATGTTCTTTTCTTCAGTATTGATTTCTATTCGTTTCTATTTGTATAGGAGTTAGAGAAATTAAACGTAGAATAAGCTGTGCTAGAAGTAGTTTCCCACAACACAGCAAGTTGCAACTAAGACAAAACATTAGTCTAAAATCTTGTTCTGAATTAGCCTTGTCAAATCGAGACTTTCATATGGATGACACACGTCGTGCCAAACCGTTTTCTTAGATTGATGATAATCTTGGAGCAAATGAAGACTATATTGTAGCAGTTAGCAGTAACGCGACAGAATCACAAAGGACTTTAAATTCATTTCTGGCTCCTCTGGCTCTAAGTGTCAGGAATATTCAGACTGATGAACAAAAAGGCTACATTATACTAGCTACTCTCTCTCTCCCTGTCTCTCTCTCTCTCTCTCTCTCTCTCTCTCTCTCTCTCTCTCTCTCTCTATATATATATATATATATATATATATATATATATATATATATATTTTCTTTTTGTGTGACATGTTCTGTCAGGATGTAGGCGGTCATGGCTCTGCACTTCTTGCAGCTCTCACATGTTCCTTCCCTCTGCTTCCTCCACCAGACGACGTTCTCTCATCTATTTAGGTCCGCCAGGTATGTCCCGCTTTGCTTTCCCTTGTCTCTCTTTCCCTCTATTCGACCTGTGAGTATTCGATTCTCCAGGCCCCCCTTCCTCATTATGTGTCACAGAAACTTCAGCTGCCTCTTCCTCGTGCTAAGTATAAACCTGCACCTTGTTTGAATCCTCCCCATGTGTTCATCGTTGCTTACGCGCTCGGTCCATGATATCCTCAGCATCCTTCTGTAGAACGACATCTCCGTCTCCACGAGTTTCTTCTTCATCTTTGAGGAAATCGTCCAACATTCTAGTCCGTAATGAAGGACAGATGTCACATAATAGTTGTGTATTCTATATTTTTCGTTAAAGACGACTGACAAGGTACAGAGATTAATCTTTTTTATTAATTTTTCTAGTGTTTGTACAAATGTCTTCTTTTCTGGACGCAAAGTGTGTAAAAACTGTCCCAAAATCGTTAGATTACAAAAATGCGGTTAGAAAATCTACAGCGCCTTCCTTAATGAATTTAATCTTAACATCAAAATACTGATTAAAAAAACTGGAAACGATTAGTATGAAAATAGACACAATAGACACAATATTATTCAGTAACGTGTATATATATATATATATATATATATATATATATATAATATATATATATATATATAGGTTGGTTCCAATGAGGGAAAAGTATGTATATTAAAAAAAAAAAGAGAGGTGCCGCAAACGTTTTTGGTTGTAATGTGGATTTATTTAGAAAAAATATGCTTTGTTTTACATAAATTTACGACACGTGTTTCTGGTCTCGTGTCTGTCTTCAGGCAAAAGCGGAGACCTTCCCATATTATTAAAAATAATTAATTTCTTTCTTATGCTTTTCAATGTTAAATATTCTCAAGAAAGAATTTCAAGAAATTCAAGAAGTACATTCGGATTACTAACACAAAAGCAGAAAATGTCTCATATCGAGAATATTTAACATTGAAAAGCATAAGAAAGAAATTAATTATTTTTAATAATATGTGGAGGTCTCCGCTTTTACCTGAAGACGGTCGCGAGACCGGAAACCCGTGTAGTAAAATTATGTAAAACAAAGCATAATATTTTTTTCTAAATAAATCCACATTACAACCAAAAACGTTTATGGCGCCTCTCTTCTTTTTAATATATATATATATATATATATATATATATATATATATATATATATATATATATATATATATGTGTGTGTGTGTGTGTGTGTGTGTGTGTGTGTATTTAGGCAGCAATCCTTCTTTCATGAACATTTCATTGAATACGACAGACAAGCTGCTTTGATTTAGTTTTTTATACAATGCGATCTAAAAAAATTTTTCTTTTCAGCTGATAAATTATATAAAAACTGTCCGAATGTTCTTTTTATCCGAGCGCTTTCGGCTATACATTTAGCCATTTTCAAGGATGAAATATTTTAACTGTTAAATAAGAAATAGTTTGTTGCATGTATGTATTTATGTAATGTTTTCATGTTTCAAAACACGGTCAAGATATTATGTCCATGTTCATAGTTGATATTTTTAAGTGTTGGTTTCTTTGCTTTTATTAATAAGGCTCCCATTATTTTCAGCCTTTTTTTTTGCATGTAGATGATGCTAATATAGTTTTGTTTGTTTGCGTGTCAAACCTGTCTATACGTTACTCCACCGAGTCCCCTCCTAGCTATGAGCAAATCGCAGGACCGACTGGGTTCTATAGCCTTGGATGGCAACTGGTCAAGAAGAGCAACTCTGAATTCAAAACCTGCAGAGGGTCGTTTGGGAACTTTGTAGCACAAGGATATATAGAGATTTGTTTTTATCATGGACCGAGCGTTTGAGCAGCGATGAAATCTTAGAGAGGATGCAACAATTCGGCTCTTTAAAAAGTGTGGTTGGTTCTGCACAAAACATTCACCACTATAATCAAATAATATGTGCAGGTTGTCTGGCTGTCAGTTGCTAGGAACTGAGTTGCCTAATACGCCGTTATATGGTCTATCAACGACGGAATGTCCGATACATATATATATATATATATATATATATATATATATATATATATATATATATATATATATATATAGCTAATATTAGTGGTAAATATACATTCATATGCAAAATATATAAATACCCAAACATGTATATTTTTTGAATAAAAATTCCAAGAGGATAGAATCCAGGTAGAACTCAATGTCCAGGACAGAGTAAAGGATATAATAAAAAGGCTTAAACACTAATATTCCATGGTCATAATTTATTCCATTTGAATCGTAAATACAACCCAATTCATCAGATCTACAAATTCAAAAAATTGGATCGTATTTACGATTCCAATGGAATAAATTATGAACATGAATATTAGTGTGTTTTTTTTTTATTATATTATATATATATATATATATATATATATATATATATATATATATATATATATATTGATGCATGTTTCATTAAATAATATAGACAAGTGGTTGTCTATTTTATGCAAGTTCTTTTCATATCGTCTGATAAGCTTAATAACATTACCATTAAACGAAGAAAGAAAATCAGAATATTGATTCATATTTTTTAATCCTATCTAAGCTTTCGGCTTACATAAGCCATTATCAAAGATGACAATTACATTACAATATATTAAGCAATACACGGACAAAACAGTGATGACAGTCTGTTTCTTTTTACATGGAAGATTCCCAAGCAACGATAAATAACGTGCATATAAGACGTCACACATGACCACGCGAGAGTGAAATCGAAAAGTATTAAGTATGGGAAGCCATTCGTATAAATGGCTTTTGTTACCAACTATAGGCATTTAAAATGCTGCCTAAATATACACAATTTATTTATATATATATATATATATGTGTGTGTGTGTGTGTGTGTGTGTGTGTCTGCGTCTGATCACTATCAAAATTTGATCCTATCTGTCTATCTATGCATATAGATTTGTGTTTATCATGGACCGAGCGTTTGAGCAGCGATGAGATTTTAGAGAGGATGCAAGCAAGGAAGAGGAAGCTGAAATTTCTCGGACACATAATGAAGAAGAAAGGTGTGGAGAATCTGACACTCACAGGTTGAATAGAGGGAAAGTGAGACAAGGGAAAGTAAAGCGTGACATACCCGCCGGGCTTACGTACGTGGATGGTGTGGGGGAGGAAGCAGAAGGAAGGAACTTGTTGAGAGCTGCAAGGGATAGGAGGAGGTGGAGAGCCATGATCGCCTACGTCCTGAAAGGACATGGCACATAAAACGAAAGACGTATTCAAAAACAGCAAGTGTAACACTGAAGACAGGCCGATAGGAAGGGCGAAAAAGAGATAACGAGAAAGATGAAAAAAATATGTCGAAATAGGAAAAATCGAAGAAAAATATCAGCCTAAGGCAATGAGGAAAAATCTATGATAACAATATTTGAATGAATCAAGAGACGATGTAACTGCGAAAATATTTTGTCTGCGAGAGTGCCAGCAAATAGATTCGGAATGGAAATGAAGTGTGAATTGACAAACCACACATATTCAGGACATTTCAAAGAGTAATCGGTCGAAGGATTTCAAGAACATATTTCGTCCTCTTCAAATTCCGGATGACAGAATTTAAATGTCTGCTCTGCTTTCCAACCATTAAGAATCACTCAACTGGAAGTCTTTGGGAACTAAGCAAATATAAACAACATTTTGTGCTGATGTGTTACATTAAAAGCCGGAGGCTTGTTATATATATGTTCCTATGTAAAAACAATTGAAAACCATTTGAAATGTATCTCTGTCTACCTGGGTAGGCAAACACCCTCAAACCCACAATAACGGTGTTAGGTTTGGGTAAATGTTTCCAGCGAATAACTTATCACTTCTTTATTCTAGAAGATTATCGATTTTTCACTAGAATTTCTTTTTTGTTTCAAGCTGGATTGAGAAGTTTTCATTTTCAAGTCCCACCCCATTTATATATATATATATATATATATATATATATATATATATATATATATATAACTCCATAAATATATTTAACGCATATAGTTGATAACAAGAGCTATTGGTT